TAACCCACCCCTTCCCCTCTCCCCTCCCTCCTCCCCCCGAACTTTCCCTCTCGCATGCTTTTCCCCTGCACCACGGATCGCCTCTCTGATGCCGCTCGCCTGGAAGCTGCGTTAGAAGCCAGCGGCGGCGGCGGCGGCGGCGGCGGCGGCAGCTCGGGAGTGCTATGACCGGCAAACTCGCCGAGAAGCTGCCGGTGACCATGAGCAGTTTGCTAAACCAACTGCCTGACAATCTGTACCCCGAGGAGATCCCCAGCGCGCTCAACCTCTTCTCCGGCAGCAGCGATTCGGTGGCCCATTACAATCAGATGGCTACAGGTAAGGGCGGCCCGGAGGCGGCGAGGCGGCGAGGAAGGAAAGAGAGAAAGAGGAGGAGGAAACGAGCTAGCGATGGACGGATGGACGGATGGATGGTTGGATGGATGGATGGATGGATGGATACATGGGGGCGCGTTGGGAATTTTCTGGGGGGCGACTTGCTTTTCCCACCCACTCCCCCCGCCCTTCCCGATCGGGAAGGCTCGGTTGGCGACGCCACGGTTGAGGCTCTGTTCTCCCGGGTGGGGGCAGCCGCCGACCGGAGGGAGGTAGGTGCCAGCGGCTCTGGGGTTCTCCACTCAGGGGGCGCGATCGCCGGGCTGCGCTCAAGGCGTGGTGCCGTCGCCCCCTTTCCCGGGAGGAGCCGAGCGTTCCTTTCACCCGCGCTCTCCCCCCTTACTCCCTCAGCCCCCCACCCGGGATGGAGCCGTGTGCGGCGTGGAGTCCCCGCGGTGGGAGAGGTACTGCGACGCTGCCTTTCCGGGGCGTTCAGCAAACCCGTGGGGGTGTGGGGACGGCGGGGAGAGGGAGGGAGTCCACCCGCGCGGGGGCTGACATGGGGGGCGATCCCTGGGCAGAGGAGCTTGGGAAGAGCGGCCACTCCCGCCGTGGAGACACGGGCCGGTTTTCCGCCGCTCTCCACCCTTGCTAGCAGAGGCTGGGCTTTCTCCCTCCAGCAAGAGCCGAAAGCTTCTTCAGGTCGGGAGGAGGCTGGGCCGGGGGGAGGCGGCGGGACAGCTCCCTTTGCGGGCAGCATCCCTCTACGCGAGGAGGACAAAGCGTCGGAGCGCTCGGGGTCATCGACCCGGGCGCAGTGCGCAAGGAGGGCTTCGTCGCGACAGGAAAGGCGCGGCGTCCCGGCGCGGACAGGGCTAGGGGAAGAGGCCGAGTTATGTGCACTAGAGAGCGAGAGCCCGGCGCGCTCTGGGTCTGAAACTACCTGTAGCTGCAGCTACCTGCCCGCCCCACCTCGGAAACAACAATGCTTCTCGCGCGCGCGTGCGTGTGTGGTACGTGAGTGTGTGCGCGGCGTGTGCGGTGTGTGTGCAGCAGCCACTCCACACCCCGATCCGTAGTATTTTTGCTGTATCCAGGTTGCGCCCGGGAGCGCGGCACCGCCCGCTTTGCGCCGCGCGCAGCTCTCCTTTTACCCCCATGCGCTGCGCACTCCACCAGGCCGCACCCTCCACACCTGGGCAAGAACCTGGGCGCCCCGGCCCTGGAGCCCTCTTGGCTTCACTCACCCCTCCCCTCTCTCCCCCGCTCTCCGCAGAGAATGTGATGGACATCGGTCTGACCAACGAGAAGCCCAACCCGGAACTCTCTTATTCCGGCTCCTTCCAGCCAGCCCCCGGCAACAAGACTGTGACCTACTTGGGAAAGTTCGCCTTCGATTCCCCTTCCAACTGGTGCCAGGACAACATCATTAGCCTCATGAGCGCTGGCATCTTGGGGGTGCCCCCGGCCTCAGGGGCACTCAGCACACAGACCTCTACGGCCAGCATGGTGCAGCCGCCGCAGGGCGACGTGGAGGCCATGTATCCTGCGCTGCCCCCCTATTCTAACTGCAGTGATCTCTACTCGGAGCCTGTGTCTTTCCACGACCCCCAGGGCAACCCCGGGCTCGCCTATTCCCCCCAGGATTACCAATCGGCCAAACCGGCCTTGGACAGCAATCTCTTCCCCATGATTCCTGACTACAACTTATACCACCACCCCAGCGACATGGGCTCCATTCCGGAGCATAAGCCCTTCCAGGGCATGGACCCCATCCGGGTCAACCCACCCCCTATTACGCCCCTGGAGACCATCAAGGCATTCAAAGACAAGCAGATCCACCCAGGCTTCAGTAGCCTGCCCCAGCCGCCGCTCACGCTAAAGCCCATCCGGCCCCGCAAGTACCCCAACCGACCCAGCAAGACCCCGCTCCATGAGCGGCCCCACGCGTGCCCAGCGGAAGGCTGCGACCGCCGTTTCAGCCGTTCGGACGAGCTGACCCGGCATCTGCGCATCCACACGGGCCACAAGCCCTTCCAGTGTCGGATCTGCATGCGGAGCTTCAGCCGTAGCGACCACCTTACCACTCATATCCGCACGCATACGGGCGAGAAGCCCTTTGCCTGCGAGTTCTGCGGGCGCAAGTTTGCGCGCAGCGACGAGCGCAAGCGCCATGCCAAGATCCACCTCAAGCAAAAGGAGAAGAAAGCGGAGAAGGGGAGTGCGCCTTCTGCGTCCTCAGCGCCCCCCGTGTCCCTGGCCCCCGTGGTCACTACCTGTGCCTGAGGCTCTGACCCCAGATCCCCACGTTTCCCCTCCAGTGTCTCCCTGCTGCTTAGCCTGAAAGCAGCGGGAAAGCTAGCCACGGAGGCGCAGGGGCCGCACCCTGGTCTCTCCATGGACGTAAGGTCCCTTATTCCCCTTCGATGCCCCCTGTTTCCACCCTTTCACACCGGCCAACGGCCGGGGGCCAGGGCAGAAGGCGCCTTCCCCTCGCTGCCCCCCACATCCCTTTAGCCAAGGCGTGGGGGCGGAAAAGGTGGCGTCTAGCCCGCTTTGTTCAGTTCGGATCGTCTTGATCCAGGGGCCTCTGGGCAGCGCCAAGGACCTGCGGGGGACTGAAGGCAGGGCCAGCCCAAGCTTTGCCCGATCCAAGCACCTCACGGGTCCCCCCTACGCCTCCCTCTGTTCCCCGTCCAAGACCCGAAAAGGGGAGAGGGTAAGGAGCGCACCAAAGCGCAAAGCTTGCTGCCCGCTGCACGCACGCGCGCCTGCGTGCGGGGTTGCGCGCGAGTGTGCGTGCTCGCGTGAGTGTGTGTGTGTGTGTGTGTGTGTGTGTGTGTGTGTGCGCGCGCGCGCGCGCGGGCACACGCGTGTGTCTGAGACTCTTGAGCTGGGCTGTGTCCACCCCAAACTCCCCCACATCGGGTCCCCAGGCCGCTGGGGGACTGTCCCAGGCTGGGGGCCTGCACGTGGCCAGACGAGACGGGTCTTCCATCTGCTCGGAAATAATGTTTCTTACAGAAATGCTTCGGATGCCACTGCGGCGGTGCAGATACCGCCGCTTAGGGTTTAGCCCCTCAGAACCCCTCCCTTTCCGAGAGCTTCCCTTTTAGGCCTCAGGGCAGTTTGATTTGCGGGGAGGAGGAGCAGCGATCACTGAACTTGCCTTTTAAAAAATATATTTCCCACTTTTTAAAATCTATGTCCTGAGTTTGCCCTTTACCCTACCCCTACCCCGCTCTCCTCCCTTCTCCCTTCTAAGCCTTCTCCCATCTCTTTCAAAATCTTTTCCCAGAAAGGCAGGCCTCAACCAGCCACCCCATTTCACCATCTTTTTGTTTTCTTTCACTCTCATACCCATTTCTCCTTCCCACCATTGGTGGAAAAGCAGGCTCTTTTGTTGCCTTTGGTCATTAACACACCATCTATGTATATGGTGTGTGTGTATGTGTGTGTATGTGTATACACACATACCTATACATATATATATATGTGTATATATATATTACATGCAATATGTATCCCTAGCAAAGTAGAATCTAAGGTACTTGGCCATCCAGTGCAGTGCACAGGAATAAAGAGAATTTGGTTAGCATATACAGCTTTAAATGGTTTATTTTTATGAAAATTTGAACTGATGAGATTACCTACATATGTGTGCATGTATGTGAGTATATATATGTATGTATATGTATATATGTATGTATATATGCATACATACACAAATACACATCCCTGTCCAAATTTTCCTCAAAGATGTGGGGATTTTTTTTTGCTTTTATCCATATTAATGAATGAGGCATCTTCTCCATTCCCCAGTCTAACCCGCCCTACCTCACCTCTTCTCAGGCACCCCCTCCTCCCCAGCCCTTCTCCACACAGGGGTGACTCTTGAAATGGAGTAGTAGAGAACGTTCTCTCTGACACAGCTTCCAGCACAGTCCTGACTGAATGTATTGCTTTCCTATTCGAGTAATTTCTCCTGTGGTCAGTAAGCTGCCCAGAGAGAAGGAACAAAGGTCTGGAGTTTACAGAATGTCTGTTTTTAAAGTCACTTTATGCGTTTCCCACTTTTTTTTTTTATGAGAAAAAAAGCACTGTTTTTTGTTTTTGTTTTTGTTTCTTTGGTGGTGGATAAAGAATACTAAAAGGAGTCTAGTGAAAGGGGGTAAAAATCAAAGCGCAGGGGGATTGTGGATTTCCAGGTACTTGGACTTTTGTAGAAGGAAAGAGAAGAGGATGAAGTTTGCGAGGAAGGCCCGTATTTTTTCAGCTGAAGGGTAAAATCTTTCTTTGCAGAGACAGTATTTTGCTGAATACTTTTTATAATGTGATGATTATTAAAAACAAAAATTTTGGTCACTTCAAAGCTGGAAGGAGGAATCAGATATCCTTTAATATTTTTTCTTGCTCCTTCTGGCTTATGCATGTCACTGCATGATAACTCTGAGTTTTCCTTTGTTTTAATAAAACTGTTCTCAGACATTTAAGCTAAACTAAGAGAAAAATAACTTTGTTGCCAAAAGGTGGTGTTATCCAGATTTTTTTAATATGTCTGCATGTTTGAAAAAAAAAAAAGAAAAGAAAATGCACTCTAACTTATGTGAACTGAGAGAAAAAAAATCAGGTTTTAAACAGGAAAACCTATGGGGAATGATATTTTTTGAAAGACTTTTGTATAAAGTTGAGTACTCAGAAAAAGACAAACCAGATGTAATATATTTTGTGGATGTTTTTATTTCTTGGATTTATAGTACCTTATACTAAGGTTAAAAAAATATGCTTGATATTGTGAAAAGGTGAGATTCTTCACCAACATTTCATCTGCTCCTTTGTCACATTGTTATGCCAATATAATACAGTTAATGAAAACAGCATTTTTAAAAACCGAAATATTGAAATGGTGTAATGTTGTACCATTTGCACTGTGAGCAAATGCTAATACAGTAAATATATTGTGTTTGCTGACAATCAGCTGGCCTATAAATCTCATTATTTTATTTCTTGTTTTCATAGCATAAAGTTTTGGTTTGGCCTGTTCTTTGTCTTGCTTTGTTTTTGACTGGTGGTTGGTTTGATAGGTTCTTATGCCTGGTTTTGCCGTTATTGCTCCTAAAACCCTGTGTGGAAGTGTGGAATTTGTTGTTATTGGAAGTTGGTCAGAATTTTGTGTGGGTCTGGTGTTTCCAATCCAGTGTTGAGTGTTTGCTGTGGTCCTAAGAGCATAGGGTTCTCCTCCACGCTTTTAGAAACCTCAAACTGCTGGAGAGGTTAGGTGAACAGATTAGATAAACTCATGGGACTCAGGGCTACTGACTGGCACCTTCTAGACCCCTTTTCCCTGGTTTACAATGGGTATCTGAGGGCAGGAAGGAGGGGGTCTCCTGGGTTATGAACAATTTCTCTGATGGCCGTGGGGAGCACCATCAGACTCCAGTGGGTTTCTATGAGCGGTGTTCTTGCTAAAGCTTTTGAAGCTTGAAAAACAGGTGGAGACTTGAGAAGGGTTCTCGGGGTTGGCAAGATAACCAGAGAGATTTGAAGCTCTTTTGTGGTCAGATGATTGGGGAAAATCAGGTTTAAATTTCTACAACTGCAGTCCCACTTGGACAGGATTCTCCAGGCCTCACTATTTGTAGCTGCCTGGGAAAGGTGGTCCTGGCTAAAAAACTGCTTTTATGAACTACCCAGGGATCTGACGCTTTTAAGAGAAGAAAGACCATTTGGGTTTGGAGAACATACAGGGAACGTTTTATACAGCATTAACCCCTTGCATCTTACAACTTCTGTCTCCCATGAAAGCAATGCTTCCCCTCCCTGGGCTTTCTTCCCCAGAACCTTCCCTGTCCTTAACTGAGTTTATTTACCAGCCCTAGAGCTTGCTTTTGAAGAAATATATGCCTTCCATGTCCTTCCTGTGTCCACATCTCCATCCTCTCCCCTCACCTTATTTCATGTAGTCTTTAAAATACTGTATCCCTGCAAGGCTTGTCCTAGAGCAGTATTTGGACAAGTCAGCCCTGTCCCTCTCCCTTTCTTCCTGTCTCCCCTCTAAAACACTCACCTGGGTTTCTCTTCCATGCATTTCTGCATATTATCTGCCTTAGCAAAGTTTAGGGACATGGTGTATGATACTGAACTCTGTAAATATAGTGCCACACATGACTGGGGAACATTGGCTCCGAGCCTGTGATGCTGACCAGGCCAGCCATACAGTGACAGAAATGTATAGCATCTCTGTTCAGAAACTGCTCTTGCTGCCCCAATGCAGGCCTATCACTGAAAAACGTGGGTGGTATTTCTGGTTGGCTGTAGTTATCAAGAAATTGAGGGCCAACTTGGGTGGAGGAGGTGGGCTGTGGCCTTAGAAAAGAATGTTTTTGAAGTGAGAGATCAATACAGAGAATGCAGTATGGAATCTTAAAGTTTCTCACCCACACAATTCTAGGTCACAGGCTGCCATCTTGAATTCTCTTCTCTCACCTCAGGAAACCTGAAAAATTCCAAACTACAACTTTATGTACAACCACAAGGAGGTATCCTTCTTTGTAACAAATGGACTCGAAGATGGCTGAAAAGTCCAAATGATTGAGCATATAATCCATCTCTTTGCTAAACTAGATGGTTCTTTCCAAATTTCTGTGTGTTTTTCAAGTGAATATTATCAGAGGCAAATAGTGTCACTTGGGTGTCTTCTTAGTTAGCATCCAGCCCCACCTGCACCTTCTCCAATCAAACCAGGTCTTCAGAACTGCACTTTCATCAACAGTATACTATGCTGCATGATTAATAAACTCATTTCCCATTGGTGCATATTACTCAACCCAACCTGGTTCAACCACTGGGTTACTTGGCAATATGGCAGCCCGCCTAGCTGGCACCAGCCCTGTGTGGTGTAATCTCTGATTCACACTTTGTAGCTAGATAAGGCTGTCTCAGATAGCATCATAGCAGCAACCCAACCTGCCTGGGTTTGTAAATATGGGGAGAGGAAACTCAACCCTGAAACTTAGGGATGAAGTGGAGAGATGGTGGAGGAAAGGCCTAGCTAGGGCTATCATGAGAAGGAATTTATGGAGGCTTTGCAAAGAAAGTCCCAGGTATAAAAATGTGGAAGAGGTAGAGGCCCCCCTCCTTCCAAGCAACCCCTGAGGTGTTTGGGGATGAATGAAAAGATGCCTTCCACCAGGCCCCCCCCGCCCCCCCAACACACACACACCTTGGGAGTGGCATACTGAAGAAGATGACTCTTTGTAAAATTGTACTCAGTGAACTATAGTTAGGTACAAATGAGGAACTACTTTGTGAGAACTGGGAGCAAGAAGTGACATATGTTTTTATATGGTAGTGTGGCGAGTGTGTTCAAGTGTGTATCTGTATTATTCACAAGTACATGAATAGGAATAGCAAGGTGGATTTTGGTGAATGAAGGCAGTAGCTTATGGTCAGTCACTACTGATCCCCTTTTGCTAGTCCAGAATTTGCCTGCTATAGATGAGGGGGTTGTAAACTGCCTTTTCCTGGCCTTGATGGGATCCCCTGGTGTCCTGGAATAATAAACATAGGGAAAATAGGAGGCCTCTGTGTGTCCCAAAGACTAGAAATCATACTGGCAAAATTTTAACAACTAGGAGAAAATGACTTTCTAAAAGGTGCCATGGGGTTTTAAAAATAGGTCGTAATCCTAAATCTATTCCAAGAGGTTCTTTTTAGAAAATCTACTCTTTGTGCAGAGAGGAGTGAGATCTCCAAAGGAAGAGAAAGGATCCAAGTGAATCTCGGAGCCCCTTGGTCACACCAGTTCTGGGGACAGCCCTGAAGACATCATTAATCACTCCTCCATCAGTCATTCAGAGACCAGGAATAGGTCTGGCCTCGTCTGCTTCTCCCAATATCCCAGCTCTTGAAACTTCACCACTCTCTATGCTTCAAAGTTCCCATCTACCCGATCTTTAATATTTTCAACGACTGGTCATTTGCACAGCCCTCTGCAAGAACAGGGTGGGCCAGGGTTGGGGGCAGTGTGATGAGGCTTGCCCTGACTTGCACTCAAATCTCTGACATGGCCTTGCCCAAGCACGAAGACACCAGCCCCGAGTCTTTTGCCTGCAATCCTCATTCCCTGTCCTCATCAGGGCTGCTTGGTCAGGATCTGGAATTGGGGCAATCCCTGTCACCACCCCTGCCTGGCCACCAGTGGGCTCCTGTGCCCACTGACCTCCACGTGAAAATACTCTTTCATCCCTTCGCAAACACGCAGATGGGTAGAAGAAAAACTTCTGAGCAGTCTTACTAAGGAGCTCAGGAGCTAATGTAAACAGTACATGACCACAAAGCTGCAAACAAGAAGAATTAGAGAATATAAGGTTTTAGATGGAGGTGGCTACTCAACAAAAATCTTCTAACTCCTAGGTTGGGTGGGAGTTGGACCACCATGTGGTTTTCTTAATGTCGCCTAACCTGCTTCTTGTCTCTATGGTGCCCCCCTCCCCCCCACCCCGCCACCACCCCACCAGCACATTTTCTCAGGCTCAGGACTCCCCTACCTATCATTGCTCCAGTGGAGTCCTCTGGGCCCTGCTCACTTTGCATGGACCGTGATCACGGACTGACTGTCCCCAGGAGGCCTGCCCCAGGCCTGCAACCATCTTTACCTTGAGCCTTTCATAGTGGCATCATGACCCAACCAGAAACAGACTGCTCTTTTCTGACCCAGCCAACAGCAGAGTTAAGCTCCCTTTTGGGTTACCCACTGAGCTCCTAGTTATATTCTCAGGAATGCTTCTGCCTCTCAGTTCCTTGGAGGAAAAGAAAAACCTGATGCCCCCGAGTCTGGGGACATCCCAGCTTTCCAGTGGGAAAATTACCATTGTCCATGGACTTGTATTCTCTGGGGTGGCTCACCCCAGGGGGTGGCCCCCACTCAGAATGCATCAGGCCCCTGTCAAGATTAGTGACCAAAACAGAACGAGGACTCTAGGACCTTTGTCTTCTTCTCAAAGACAGGCTGCAAGAGCTCTGGCACTTTCTACTCCTTAGCGTTTTGCCCCTCCAGGTTGTCTAGGTACCTCAAGGTCTTTCATTCTGCCTTGTTCCCTTCTCCCCACTGCCTATGAAGGTCAGGCCATCCGAGCGGGAATCAGGAGTCTTCTCATGTCTGTGCGGCCCCAGGGTACCAAGGAAAGCCTTCTTTACGGCACTTGTTACTTACTCAGGTCTCTGTCCTGGAAATTGAGAGGCAGATTGATAACCCAGCAGCTACTGTGTTATCAATAGTGGTCCTTGACTAGCTTTGAAAGCATCACCTCCATCCTAGATCGGAATCTCAACCCTGCTACTTTTTTGCAGCATGACTGTCAACAAGTTTCTTGGTCTCTCTGAACCTCAGTTTCCTCCTGTCTTATCATTGCTGTTGTGTGGGTTCAAATGAGGTCATATATATGGTGCCTGGTTCATTGTAGGTGCTCCATAAATGTGACTCATCTTCCTTACCCTTTGGCCCTGTCCCCTTTCCCATCCTCCAAACTAATGTGAAAAAGAGGGCTCTCTTTCTACCAGAGATCAGTACACTGATTCAAACACAGCCAGAGGACCTTGAGTCCTCACTACCACTCTCAACTCCGGCCATGCACTGGACATCTGTATTCTGAAAGGGGATCCTCTCCACCCCACCTCCCAATCCATCCAGAGGACATGGGTCCTTACCCCTCTTGGCTACAGCTGCTGTCAATGTAGCCATTTCCTGGCCTAGTTCCTGACCCCTTCCCAGGTCCTTTTGTCTCTCTCACTTAGATGGGTGGATGTAACACCTTCCTGATCCAGTATCATCTGCAAAGTTAATTAATGTGTCATTGGGCTGTTGCCTGCTTCCTGATCCTTATCAGGGATTTAAATAAAACGCAGTAACCCAAGTTCCTCCCTGTCCATCCCTCTCCCTGAATCTGAGGCTTCTTCTTAGTCATCAGTTCTTAACC